GCACTGGCCTGAGTGCAAGTGTGCGGCTGCCTCTCTCTTTCGCGTGTCTCTACAAGGGGGATATCAACATTTAATTGATTATTTCAATCCTTTTGGGGCTTTGTCTGGCGCCTCGCTCATTTTCTTTTTATTGAGGTGGCGTCCTGAAGAAACCCTACAATTTTTGCTGCTGCGGTGTATGCACATCGATGGGTAGTTGATTATATATATATATATATATACATATATATATATATATATATTTATATTTATATTTATATTTATGTGTCTGTGTATAGATATGTATATATATATACATATTTTTAAATATGTATGTGTAGATATAGATATATGGATATTGATGTAGATATGCATAGATATATACAGTGAAGGTAGATATATATATATATTATATTTATCTTAATATATTGCGTATTTTAATATATATGCATGTATACGTACATACATGTACATACATTTGCATTTGCTGCTGCTGACAGGCCTCTGTTTCGCTGTTGTTATTTGTTTTGCTTAATTAATTGATATATTATATATATTATATATTTTATATATATAATATATATAGATATATATATATATAAATGAAGTGTATATAGATTATATATATTTATTTTTATATGGTTGCTCTTTCCCATGTGGGTGCATGCAAATATAAGTGCATGCAAGTGTATGCATGCATATGAGCATGCAGCGAATTCGTGTGTTATATTTACATTAATATTATCGCAATTTGTTTATTTACTTGCATGCAGGCAGCAGCACTTGATCCTGATGAAGTATTTGGAGGCTTAGATGTTGCAGAAGAAGTTAAACAATCTCTCATTCAAGATATACAGCTCAGACTTGCCCCCCAGGCTCTCAAACTCAGGTCAGCTCTTCTTTATCTTCTTTATCTTCTTTATTTTCTTTATTTTCTTTATCTTCTTTATTTTCTTTATTTTGTTTATTTTGTTTGTTTAATTTTTTTTGTTTTTGTTTTATGTGATGTCTCCGTTTTGTTTTGTCTGTCTCCTTTTGGTGTCTCCTTCTTGTTTAGCATCGAGTGTCCGTCTACTTTTCATTTTATTTTTATTTATTTATTTATTTATTTATTTATTTGATCGTCTTTTAAAATTTTAATCTCCTTCCACATCTCCTCTTCTCTTGCTCCAGGACTCGTACTAAATATACATATAAATACACATATATATATAATATATATAAATATATATATATATATGTATATATATATACATATATATATATACATATATAGATATATATTCATATATAGATATATATTCATATATATAGATATATATACATTATATATATATATATATATACACGCACACACACATCCCCATACATACATATATACATATATACATAAACAAATATATACATATATATATATACAAATATATATAATATATATATAATATATAATATGTTGATGAACTCAGGGCCCGCGTAGACGTCTGGTGTTTCGGTAGAGACGGTATTGAAGCTGTCCGCGCTGCACTTCAAGCGGGGCGCGAAGTCGGCGATGAAAAGGTCGAAATCATCGTTAAGTTAATCGCCCCGCCTCAATATGTCATCGTCACTTCTTGCTTCGATAGAGACACAGGACTCAACAAAATTCAAGAGGTAAACCGTATATTTATTTATTTTATTATTTATTTAATTTGTATAATTTATAATTTATAATATATAATATATATAATATATATTATATGTTATTTATATTACATATTATATATAATATATGTATTATATATATATATGTGTCAAGAGATGTATGTATGCATGGAGAGATGTATGCATGTAGAGATGCATGCATGCATGCATGCAATATGCTTGCTGTTATTGACTGATTGAATATAATGCATATATATAATATATATAATATATATAATATAAAAGCCCCATCGTGTTGCGCGTTGGTAGTTGGGTGTGCATGCACTGGCCTGAGTGCAAGTGTGCGGCTGCCTCTCTCTTTCGCGTGTCTCTACAAGGGGGATATCAACATTTAATTGATTATTTCAATTCTTTTGGGGCTTTGTCTGGCGCTCTCCCATTTCTGTTTATTCTTTTATGGGGCTGGCGTCCTAAAGAAGTCCTACATAACACTGTGCATGCATCTTGGTGTTGCATGCATGCATGCGTTTCAAACAGAGATTTGCTGCTTTTGTTCTTCTCTATTGCCACTCACAGGCTTCTCTATTCATTTATCCTGCATGGATGCATGCATGGATGCATGCATGCATGCATGCGACACAATGCATGCACTTATGCATGCACCTGTGCATGCATAAGTGTTCTTATGCAGTGCATGCACTTTTGGGGCTTTTTTATTGCGAGGTTTGCTTGGGAAGTGTATTTTCTTTTTTTCGTTTATTTTTCTGCTTTCTTCAGGCCATCAACCGCATCAGTCAGAAGATAAAAGAATACAGAGGCGGAGACTTCAAACAACAGGGAGAGGTGAGATATAATGGGGCTGTGCTTATCCTGCATGCATGCATGCATGCATGCATGCAGAGATTTGCATGCATGCATGCATGCAGGCTATATTGAG